CAGAAGCTTTCAGGACCTGTAGCAAACTTCATCAGATGCAATGCTCCATATGTATGAGGAGAACTGGGCTGAATATGCAGTTTATTCATCAGCCTCACGTTGCCAACCATCCCTTTCTTCTGCTTAATTTCAGGGTGAAGCCTTCCGATGCCTTTGTTCTAATGCCATCTGTCTGTACTCGGCTAGCTATACCTTGAATTGACTACATTCTGCCCGTTTCCTCCGCTTCAAGCCAGCTGGGAATTGAACAACCCAGCTCTGAGCCCAGGAAGAACCATGCCTCTGGAAGACGATGAGCTCAGCTGGAAAAAACAAGCGGAAGACATCCGGGAAATCTATGAATTTCGGGAGGTGCTGGGCACGTGAGTTCTTTTAGCTCTAGGGCAGTCTGGGTAGAGGCTGTTGCACCAAGAAAGCAGAGAGTTTTGTGGGTTCCACTCAAGAGTGCCAAAATTTGAACTTCAGCTGTTTCATCTAAAAAAAGTCTCCTCCTGAGCCTTCTTCATTTCAGCAACCTTAGACTAATTTAGAGAAGACCATGATGGGAATAGAATTCTTTTTATATTAGGAGGGTAATCTTTGTAAATCTTTTCCTAATTACCGAGTCATCTGCCACAAGATCCAAATCCCAACAGTGTTCTGTCTGCAAGCTTGTTTATTCAACACATTGTAATCTAAAATAGCAATCCTTGTTGCCTGTTCTCATAGATTGATAGGGTCATTTACAGGTTATTATATTCTACGCAACTCTGAACTACTACACCCAGCAGAAGTAAATATTCTTAATCTTGTTTACTAGGGCTATCTTGAAAGTTTTCTGCAAATAAGCCTGTTGTTGATTGCTGTCTTGAATTTAGCCAGCTGGCTTAGATCCATTATTTGAAAACCATATTTTTTTTGCTAATCCAACTAGAAGTAGGTTAGTTAATTCAAATCTACTGAATACATAGAATCTATAGAAGTGAGAAGACTCAACTTTTTAAAAAGTCGTGGGTATGGCAGAACCTTTGGAGCAAATTGCTGAAAGTTGGGCTACCTTAGTTGTGATAGCTGTTGCGGAGGATGTATGGAAGGAGTCATTTTAAAATTTTCCTTAGCGAAGCCTAGATAAAGATACAGTTGAGATGCTGGGTTTGAAGCAAATTGGCAAATGTAACTCAAGCAATAGTGCCTTCCTGCCATTATCTTCATTAATCTGACTAACACTCCACTTTGGAGTTTAGAGTAGAATAGATTAGAATTCTTTATTGGCCAAGTGTGATTGGACACACAAGGAATTTGTCTTAGTGCAAATGCTCTCGGTGTACATAAAATAAAAGATACATTCATCAAGAGTCAAGAATCATAAGGTACAACACTTAATAATAGTCATAGGGTACAGTAAGCAATCAAATCATACTAGGAAACAGTCAATATAAATTGTAAGGATACAAGCGACAAAGTTACAGTCATACAGTCACAAGTGGGAGGGGATGGGTGATAAGGAGTGATGAGAAGATTAATAGTAATAGTAGTGCAGACTTTGTAATTAGTTGGAAAGTGTTGAGGGAATTATTTGTTTAGCAGAGTGATGGTGTTCGGAAAAACCTGTCCTTGTGTCTAGTTGTTCTGGTGTGTAGTGCTCTATAGCGTTGTTTTGAGGGAAGGAGTTGAAACCGTTTATGTCCGAGATGTGAGGGGTCTGTAAATATTTTCACAGCCCTCTTTTTGACTCGTGCAGTATACAGGTCCTCAAATGAAGGCAGGTGGGTAGTAATTGTTTTTTCTGCAGTCCTAGTTATTAATTAATTATTACCCTAATTATCTTGGGTTGCAGAACCAAACCAGACAGTTGTAGAGGCGCAGATGACAGACTCAATAATTCCTCTGTAGAACTGTATCAGCAGCTCCTTGGGCAGTTTGAGCTTTCTCAGTTGACACAGAAAGTACATTCTTTGTTGTGTTTTTTTGATGATGTTTTTGATGTTAGGTGTCCATTTTAGGTCTATAATATAATAGAAGCTAGAAATTTGAAGGTCTGTACTGTTGATACTGTATTGTCTAGTATCGTAAGAGGTGGTAGTATGGGAGGGTTTCTTCTAAAGTCTACCACCATTTCTACGGTTTTTGAGTGTGTTCAGTTCCATATTCTTCCAGGAGGCTAAACAAAATTATTGTCCAAACATAAGGCTAAAGCATCACTTAGCTATCTTTACCCTACAGCAGACATCTCCAACTAACGTACTCCAGATATGTTAATGACTTCTAATATACAGGCAGTCCTCGACTTATGACCACAATTGTGCCCAACATTTCTGTTGCTAAGTGAGACATTTGTTAAGGGAATTTTGCCCCATTTTATGATGTTTATTGCTGCAGTTGAGTGAATCACTGCAGTTGTTGAGTTCTTACCATGGTTGTTAACTGAATTGGGCTTCCCCGTTGACTCAGAAGGTCGCAAAAGGGAATCAGTCACATGGCCCCAGGACACTGCAACCGTCATAAATATGAACCGATTGCCAAGCATCCAAATTTTGATCATGTGACCATGGGGATACTTCAATGGCCGTGATGTATGAAAAATGGTCATAACTCACTTTTTTCAGTGACGTTGTAACTTCAAACAGTCAGTGAATGAACTGTTGTAATTTGAGGACTATCTGTATTCTCTCCAATATGCATGACTGCAAATAGCTTTGGAAAAGCAGAAACTACCTCCCGTATGCTGCAGGAAAAGTACTATCCCTAAACTTCTGCAGCCTTCAGAAGTTACTTTAGATTATTTTTGTGTTAGAAGGGAAAAGACACAGATGTCTCTAGATGCTGCGGGTTTTCACATGTTTCCAGTTGGGGATTGTCTAGGCCAGCAGTTCCCAAACTGTGTTCCATGAAATTCCTCAAAAGCATACTAGGGACTCTACGAAAAATCTCAAAAATCAAATTTAAAACAGATTTTAAAATAAAATCATGCCAGACCAACTATCTTGTACCAAAATAAAAGTTTGTGGTTATATTTAAAATGTTTTCTCTTTATTTTCAAACCTACTACGCAGTGCAAAACACTCGGATTAAAGTTATGGGTTCTTAATAATAACGCTTAATAAAAATCAGGGATAGAGTTAGGGTTCCATAGGGGGGGAAAAGGGTCCCCTAACCAAATAAGTTTGGGAACTGCTGATCCACACCTTCATGGAATGGATCAGCTTGGAGAAGGTTGGCAAATTAGCCATGAAGGAAAATGGCCGCTGTACGAGAATACAAAGCTCCTTGTTTCCTTTCTTAAATTGCCCCACACACTACATCTGAAATTAGTGTCAGGACTGGTTCAACAGCAGCTGTATATGAATTCAGTCAACTCATGGCCTCAAATATTAGCATAGGATTTATTAATATTGACAGGAGGTGTGGGCTGCAACTTAAGTACGTGCTCAGTATTGTCATGTGCTGTTTTTTTGAGGAAGAGGATTCACTCCAGGTGACTAGTTATTTTAAGCTGTGGCACTCAGTGTGAAAAGCTTCATTCTGGAGATGGCAAGGCTGTAAATTCAGATAAGCCGGCTGCCATTTTGAAATGGTCCTTTCTTCAAAGGAACTGAAAGTTGATCCTTTATGGGTAAAATTAGAGGACAAACAAATGTGGCTCCACCATTAAAAACCAAAGCCTATCTTTTCTTTTACTGTTTCTCTTCCAGCATTGCTGTGCAGTAGGGAGCTGCAAATGTGAGGTCCCTATTCACAAATGCTGTTCAGAATAACGGTGTGGTCAACATAAGCATTATTTTCCAGAAGGATCAGTAACACAACTGACCATTTTTATCTGAAATTGAGTTGTCATAGACCAGAGGTGGGAAATGATGGCTCCTTTATGACTTGTGGACTCCTTTATGACTTGGGAATTGAAGTTCACAAGTCATAAAAGGACCATCATTCCCCATCCCTGTAATAGGCTGTTCTTAAATATGATAACCATTTGAACCTCTATCTTCTGATCCTTCATCCAATGGCCCACAAAAACTCATGCCATAATTATGAATATTTTAATACTTTGAGATTTGGGGGTGTCTTTGTTAAGTATTCAGGAAGCGTGGCGCAGTGGTTAGAATGCAGTACTGCAAGCTACTTCTGCTGGCTGCCAGCATTTTGGCAGTTCGATTCCCACTGACTCAAAGTTGACTCAGCCTTCCATCCTTCCAAGGTCAGTAAAATAAGGACCCAGGTTGTTGGGGGCAATAGGCTGACTCCATAAACCGCTTAGAGAGGGCTGTAAAGTTCTGTGAAGCGGTATATAAGTCTATTGCTATTGCTATAACTATATCACCGATGCAGGACACAGCTCCTGTTTATTCAGGCCCAACATTCCCTGAGTTTCCATGTGTGTATCATATGGTACTTTAAAGAGTATTAACGCATGTTTAGGGTAATGCATATAAATAACGACTACATGTAGGAAAATGAAATGGGAGCCATTTTGTTTATTACTCAGTCAGTCTGGAATGAATGGATCTTATGTGAACTGAGTCAAACATTCCTCCCCACGTTTCCTAATGGTTGGAAGAGAAAAGTAGGGCGCAGCCCATCCATTAGCTTTTGCCAGCCTTTGTTTTTAGCAGTGCGGTTTGTTTTATGTATAAAAAGCATCAGAGGAGCCCCTGTGGATTGGATCAAAAGCTTATCTAATCCATCATCCTGTTTTCTACAGTGGCCAGCCAAGTCCCTCTGGGAAGCCCACCAGCTGTTGGAGAGGTCATGTCATGTTGTTCCCTAGCAAGTGGTATTTAGAGGCCTGCTGGAGATACTGTACCAGATCACCATCATAACTTATTTCTTGGTCATTTCCTTATCCACCACAAATTTCCCCAGGCCATAAATAGCAGCTGGCAAGTTGAATTTATCTGGTGGGGCTAAATGGATTGCTTACATATCAGTGTAAATATTGGTGGATGTGGAGATAGGGGTGCAACCCTTCTCTTCTGTGGTTCTTCAATTAGCTAATTTTTTCACCCATGTCTCTTCTTTTTCACTGTTCTCAGGTATCAAATCTGGGCCTTGAATCAGTGCTGTTTCCCGGCCTTCTGGTTTTTTAAAAAATATATTTTTTTATTAAATTTATAAAATACAAGTAAAATTAAAAGGAAAATAATGGAGAAAGGGGGAAGTGGGAAGTGTGGGAAGTATGGGAGAAAGGGGAGAAAGAAAGAAGAGAGAGAGAGAAAGAGAGAGAAAGAAAGAAAAAGAAAGAAAGAAGGAGGGAGGAAAGAAAGAAAGAAAGAAAGAAAAAGAAAGAAAGAAAGAAAGAAAGAAAGAAAGAAAGAAAGAAAGAAAGAAAGAAAGAAAGAAAGAAAGAAAGAAAGAAAGAAAAAGAGAGAAAGAAAGAGAGAAAGAAGGAAGGAAGGAAGGAAGGAGGGGAAGGATAGAGGGAGAAGGAAGAAAGGAACAAAGAAAGAAAGAGAAAGAAAGAAAGAAGAAAGAAAGAGAGAAAGAAAGAAAGAAAGAAAGAAAGAAAGAAAGAAAGAAAGAAAGAAAGAAAGAAAGAAAGAAAGAAAGAAAGAAAGAAGTAGGGAGGGAGGAAGAAAGAAAGGGGAGAAGGGAGGGAGGGAAGGAAGGAAGGAGGGAGAAAAAAGAAAGAAAAAGGAAGGAAGGAGAGGAGGGAGGGAGAGAGGGAGAAAGAAAGGAACAAAGAAAGAAAGAAAGAGAAAGAAAGAGAAAGAAAGAAAAAAGCATTTACATCTGGCTCTTTTCAGGGCAGAAGAATAAAATAATAATATGACAGCATCAACTTTTTACTTTTGCATTCTTGATAGTAGTGTACCAGCCATTTCTGTAACAACAAACTTGTCTAATCATCAAGTCCCATTTTTCCCCCTATCTCAATTCTAGAAGCGGTTTCCAAATAGAAAGCAAGCTGGATGTATTCTTTTCTCTTCCCTATCTTCTGTTAGCACTCCACCCAGGTGTGGTTGCAATCGTAACAGAGAGGGAGATCCGCTTGCTTGCCTGCTGCATGTTTACTCTGAACAAAGCACAGACTAGTCTTTCAGGGGGGAAAAAAGGGGTGCCTGTCTCCAGAAGAATGAGGGTGCGCGCTTGAATTGTACACCTCTGTTTACACGAGGGGATACCGGCACCTGGTTTGAGGTCCAGGTATTTCTCCATCCAAGTGGAAAGGATGCCCTACTTATCCTTACTTATTTTTGTTCCACTTCGAACCTAGGGGGGTGGGATGTTTTTCTCCCCTCATCCCTCTCAGTTTGGGGGGAGATCTCGCTAGCTTTGAGGTTGAAACAGATTGAGTCTCAGTGGTTCTTCCAATACCAACTTTGCCTGCCACGGTTGATAAGCTCAGATTCTGCACTTCCTGGCACATTCTCTCTCCTTCCTGCCCAATGCCATCTCTCACATATTCTCCTATAAATAGCTGAGATTCTGCAGGTTGCTGTGGTGACAGCGGCTGGGTGAGAGATCCAGCCGGGTGTAAGGGGGAGGTGGGGGGGTTGGTGCTGAGAAGAGGGCAGAGCAAAGAGTGAGGTCACTTGCTCTGACCTCCCCTCTCCCTCCCTTTTTTACTTTTTCTCCCTTCCCTTTGCTTTGCTGGGCTGATGGACCTCATTCCGTCCTTTCCTTCCTGGACTTCAAACGTTTTAAATCCGTTGGCACTCTGCCACAGGCGCATCGCCCGTCTAAATGGGGCATCTTTTGGCCAGGGAGATATCTGCCTAATCTGCCCACTTTCCTCCTCCCCGTCCATCTTGTTTTCCAGAGGTGCCTTCTCAGAGGTGGTGCTGGCGGAAGAGAAATCGACTCAGAAGTTGGTGGCCGTCAAATGCATTGCCAAGAAGGTGCTAGAAGGAAAAGAGACCAGCATTGAAAACGAGATTGCCGTGCTACACAAGTGCGTGGTGCCTCTCCTCATTCTCTTCCTTCTTTCGACTCCTTTATCAGTCTGGTTCAGAGAAAATAGATGCTGAAATCCAGATCTTTTCCGATCTGTCACCAGTCTAGTTGCTTTGGAAAACTCCGAAGCAATGCAAACCAGGAGCAAGCTAACTTCTATTGCGGGGCTGTCAATTTCAAGGACTTGCGGGCCTCTGGCCCACAGGGCTGGCTTGAAAACAGCGAAGGACCATCCTATGGTGCCTCTGCCAGTGAAAACGGAGCTCGAGAGGGCTGTGCGTGCCCCTCCCCCCCCGAGCTCCATTTTTGGCTGTGATGGCCTCCTGCAGTCCTCCGCCAGCGAAAATAGAGCTTGGGATGGCTGCCTAGGATCCTCCTGGGCTCTGTTTTCACTGGCAGAGGGCTGCAGGAGGCCGTCGCAGCCAAAACCAGAGCCCTTTCACTGGCAGAGGGCTATAGGACAGGGGTCCCCAACCACCGGTCCACGGACCGGTACCGGTCCGTGGAACAAGTCCTACCGGGCCGCTGGCTTGCTGGGTACCGCCATCTTGTTTTGATGAAAAAGTGCTTCCGGTGAGCTCACCGGAAGCACTTTTTCATCAAAACAAGATGGCGGCGCCCAGCTGATGTCGGTACCGGGCCGCGCCATAAAAAAGGTTGGGGATACCGGGCTGCGGCGTAAAAAAGGTTGGGGATCACTGCTATAGGACATCGAGCTGGCCATGTCCAACCATGCCACGTCCATTCAACTCCCCCCCCCCCGAGGTCAAAGAACCCTGATGTGGCCCTTAATGAAATCAAGTTTGACACCCCTGCTCTATTGCATCTGTCCAAGATTTGATTCCTGGCACATCATGAGGGATTTAGGTTAGGGACGTTGTCCTGTTGCTTGTTGCTTCTTTGTCAAGTTGCAGGCGTGCATTATGAATGTTACATGTTTCTGGTGCACTGCTTTTTTATTCCATTAGTGGGAAGCAGGGCAAAGGAGAAATCCTGGTGCAGGTAAGTCCTCAACTTACGACCACCACTGAGCCCAACATTCCTGTTGTTAAGTGAAATATAAGGTAACTGAGTTTGGCCCCATTTTATGACCTTTCTTGCCCCAGTTGTTAGTCAGTGCAATAGTTAAATTAGTAACATGGTGGTTAACTGAATCTGGCTTTGCTTGTGAGAAGGTTGCAAACCATGATCAGATGACCCTGAGACACCACAACCGCCATAAATATGAGTTAATTGCCAAGCATCTGAATTGTGATCATATAACCATGGGGATGTTGCAATGGTCAAAAGTGTGAAAAACGGTCATAACTCACTTTTTCCAGGGCCGTTGTAACCTCAAAACAGTCACTAAATAAACTCTTATAAGTTGAAGACTACCTGTAGTATATTTCAGGATAAAGTAGTATATTTTAAGATAAGTTTATTTTTTAAAAGAACATAGTGATGCATTGCTTCTCTTATGCCAGAGCATCTTTCCGCATATCATTCAGTGAAGTGCAGAGATAACAGTGGAATTGTCTATTCCATACTGCATGGCTGTGATGACCCAGAGTGTAACACAAATATACCGTAACAAGATCCAGAACGTAAATAAATGTCCTTTAATGCCTCCAACTTGGCCCCACTGTTCAATAATACTCAGCTGGAGATAAAACATACTCAAAAATAGTCTTCAAAAGAAAGCAATACAGTCCGAATTTAACGAGCAGATAGAGGTGAAATAAAAAAACCAAACGAACTACAGTGATGAAATTTCCACAACAGAACAGGAGAAGTATTTACTAAATTCAAGGAGATAACAAGGCACAGTGTGTTGGAAGGATGCCAACTAAGATAACTTCAGACCAAAATGAAACACGCTTTGTTTCTAGCGTTTGCCAGTACACAGGTCCAAACTCTCATGCAGTTGTCACAGCTGCATCCCATGAAGAGGATCAAAGCCCTCTCCTCCTGAGTAGACCACGTCTCTCCCTTCTCCTCTCCTCCCTGCGTGCCCTAGGATGGATAGGGGATAGGCCTGGGTCCTCCTCTGACTGCTCAGCTGGCCTCTGCCCTTCCCCAGCCTCCTCCACAACCTCTGGAGCCACACTCCCACTCCCTGTCGGCTGTTCCTCCTCTCCCTCAGAGTCAGTCTCCATCAGGTGCATGACAATGGCCCTCAACAATGAACAGCATAGCCAGGGGTGGGATTCTCCCGTTTTGGACCGATTCGGGGGAACCCCTATATGTGATGATCAGCTGGCTTCGAACCAGTTTGATCCAACTATCATGTGGATCATGTTTGATCCAACTATCACGTCCGCCCTTGCGCTGTTCTCACTCAGTTGATTCGCACAGCAGAGCGGATAGCTGCACCTCAGCTGTTTTACTTCCTTGAAGTAACATTGAAGGTAAGTAATTGCGGTAGTTGTGCACACGCGAACAGTGTGCATTAGGTGTGCGTGATTAGCGAACCAGTTGTTACACTGGAAGAATCCCACCCCGAGCATAGAGTTCTAGCCCTGGAGATTGTATCTGCGGCTGCTTCAAGCAATTTTGTCCTCCGAGTCATTTCCAGCAGTAGAACGGGATTGGAGCAGTGGTGGGATTCAAATTCTTTTACTACCAGTTCTGTGGGCATGGCTTGGTGGGCGTGGCAGGGGAAGAATACTGTAAAATCTCCATTCCCTCCCCACTCCTGGGGGAAGGTTACTGTAAAATCCCCAATCCCTCCCCACCCCACCTAACCTGCTTCTCAGCTCTGTTCTCCTGTGCAGGGCAACAAAAGAAGACCCACCCGATCAGCTGGGACTCGGGAGGCAGAGAATAGATGCGGGCAGGGCCAGTCAGAGATGGTATTTGCCTGTTCTCTGAACTACTCAAAATTTCCACTACCAGAACTGGTCAGAACCTGCTGAATACCACCTCTGAAATGGATACTAAGGACATTTCGGATAAGTTATTCAAGGTGCACTTCAGGAAGGGGAAAAAAAAATCAGTAATCCTGCTACCATGATTAGCAGGAAGCATAAAAACAGATACAGTGAGCAGGGAGATTTTAATTAAAGATAATTAGAGTCTTGAAAAGCTTCAACAAGATTTCACCAGTCCAGACAGGATCAAGTACTAATGCAATTATTTAAAAATAATAATAGTGCCCAAACTAAAGTATAAAAAAGAATAAAATCCACAGAGCTGCAAGAATTTGGTGGTAGCTTTGTCTGGGTGTTTTAAGAAAAGACAGCAAGCAAAAAAAAAAAAAAAAAAAGCAACGACAAAGTAAATACGGAGTTAACTGAATGTCCAAA